TGGTGATGAAGATGCGATATCTTGACGGTGGTGCCGTCGCCGCCTCAACTTCAATCGTCGTGGGTATGGAAGGTAATAATCATGGTAATAATGATCCTTTTGCTAAAATTAAATTTAGTCTACCTCCTTTTGCTGGTAATGTTGATCCAAAGGCATATTTAGATTGGGAGCTTGCTGTTCAACAAAAATTTGATTCTCATAATGTTCCCGCTGAGCATAGAGTTAGACTTGCTACTAGTGAGTTTATTAATTTTGCTTTGTTCTGGTGGAGTGATCTTTGCAATGCCAATAATCTTTATTCTTGTGCCTCAAACTTGGAATGTTTTAAAGCAACGTATGAAATCTCGTTTTGTTCCTCCTTATTACCAACGTGATTTACGTTTGAAACTACAAACTTTAAAACAAGGTGATAAAGGAGTAGAAGCATACTATCAAGAATTGCTTATTGGTTTAGCACGTTGTGGTATAAATAAAGATGATAATGATGCTAGTGCTAGATTTTTTGGTGGTTTAAACCATGATATACATAACATACTTGATTACAAAGAATGGCGCAATTTTTCCCAATTGTATCATCTTGCTATTAAGGCAGAACGAGAAGTACAGGGACGCAAACAACACCAGCCTTTCAGGTCTAACAATGGGAGGAATTTTCAGCAGCGTTCCGAGCCGGAGACGACCAAGCTTCCTGTTGCACCACAGCCATCTACACCTCTATTTTCTTCCGGGGTAAGTAAATTGTCTAATGTGCAGTTTCCACGGGCATTGAGGTGGTGCTGCCTAGGAATGGCTCTTGCCCACACTAGCATGGATTGATCACTACTCAAACACTAGTGTGAGAGCATGTAGACACGGAGTAGGTCATCATAGGTTTATCGTTGGGAATTGATCGATAGGTTTTAGCTCTCTTTGTTGCCATAAAACACGTCGTAGAGTATCGAAATCGTGGTCCGTCACCCTAAATGTACAAAACTTATCTGTTTGGAGCCCGAATCGAGTGTGGTTTTTTTATTTGACGTAGTATGCCATCTGCTATCCAATGTAGAGTGAATTTAAAAATCTAGAGTGACTATTATTTTTTAAAAAATAAAATGAAGACACAAATGTCCATTGGAAGTAACCCATAGGCATCGAGGTGGTGCTGCCTACGAATGGCTCTTGCCCACACTAGCATGGTTCGATCACTGCTCAAACACTAGTGCGAGAGGTCATCATAGGTTGATCATTGGAAATTGATCGATAGGTTTTAGTTCTCTTTGTTGCCATGAAACACGTCGTAGAGTATCGAAATTGTGGTCCGTCACCATAAATGTACAAAACTTATCCGTTTGGAGCCCGAATCGAGAGCAATTTTTTTGTTTGACGCAGAATGCCATCTGTTATATAATGTAGAGTGAATTAAAAAATTCAGAGCAACTATTATTTTTAAAAATAAAATGAAGACACAAATATCGACAGGAAGTAACCCTTCGGTGCCGAAGTAGCGCTGCCCGTGAACGCCTCTTGCCCGCACTAGAATGGATCGATTAGTGCTCAAACACTAGTGTGAGAGCATGTAGACATGGAGGAGGTCATCATAGGTTGATCATTGGGAATTGATCGATAGGTTTCAGCTATCTTCGTTGCCATGAAACACGTTGTAGAGTACCGAAATTGTGGTCCGTCACCCTGAATGTACAAAACTTATCCGTTTGGAGCCCGAATCGAGTGCGGTTTTTTTTGTTTGACACAGAATGCCATCTGTTATCTAAAGTAGAGCGAATTTAAAATTTTAGAGCAACTATTATTTTTTTAAAATAAAATGAAGACACAAATATCGACAGGAAGTAACCCTTCGGCACCGAAGTAGCGCTGCCCGTGAAAGCCTCTTGCCCGCACTAGCATGGATCCATCACTGCTCAAACACTAGTGCGAGAGCATGTAGACACAGAGTAGGTCATCATAGGTTGTTCGTTGGAAATTGATCAATAGGTTTTGGCTCTCTTCGTTGCCATGAAACACGTTGTAGAGTACTGAAATTGTGATCCATCACCCTAAATGTACAAAACTTATCCGTTTGGAGCCCGAATCGAGCGCGGTTTTTTTGTTTGATGCAAAATGTCATCTGCTATCCAATGTAGTGAATTTAAAAATCTAGAGTGACTATTATTTTTGTAAAAATAAAATGAAGACACAAATATCCATAGGAAGTAACCCATGGGCATCGAGATGGTGCTGCCTACGAATGGCTCTTACCCACACTAGCATGGATCGATCACTGCTCAAACACTAGTATGAGAGCATGTAGACACGGAGTAGGTCATCATAGGTTGATCGTTGGGAATTGATCGATAGGTTTTAGCTCTCTATTTTGCCATGAAACACGTCATAGAATACCAAAATTGTGGTCCGTCACCCTGAATGTACAAAACTTATACGTTTGGAGCCTAAATCGAGCGCGGTTTTTTTGTTTGATGCAGAATGCCATCTGCTATCCAATGTAGAGCGAATTAAAAAATCTAGAGCGACTATTATTATTTTTAAAATAAAATGAAGACACAAATGTCCATAGGAAGTAACCCATGGGCATCGAGGTGGTGCTGCCTACGAATGGCTCTTGCGCACACTAGCATGGATCGATCACTGCTCAAACACTAGTGCGAGAGCATGTAGACATAGAGTAGGTCATCATCGGCAGCGAAACAGACGAGGCCAGCAGGGCAGTGCGATAAAAGAGTGAGCGGGTACGCTGTTTAGAAGCATGATCCTTCAGGCAGCTAAAGGGAAATGATGAGTGGTAAAATCTTGCGTTTTGAATTGCGAGAGGGGTGCCTGCCCCAAATAAGCCTGTTACGACAACAGGGCACTCACACTGTTTACCATCTGATCCCGAAAACTAAAACAAATTTAATGTTATAAAACAAGTACTTTCTCTAAGTCATTCTTAGAGAGTCAAAAACATCTAAAGTTGACCAAATTTAAAAAATAAAATAATAACATTTATGATACTAAATAAGTATTATTAGATTTTTTATTAATTATATTTTCACAATATACCAATTTGATGTCATATCTTTGTAATTCTCTCTATAATTTTAGACTCTCAAGATTGTTTATAATTTATATTTTGGGATGAAGAGAGTATTATGTTATTTTTTTACAGAATGTGTAGTTAGAATGAAAAGCCTGAAGATTATTGATTGTGTTAGAATGAATAGCCTGGAAATCCTAAATGTCTAGGCTGTATCGATCCAAGATTTGTATTACCTCATTACCGCACTCTATGATCCGTGAAGTTGAAGGTGAATCTAGTAGCAGTATCCACCAGATTCAGCATGCACATATATATACCCTAATGAGTTGTACCTAAGCTGCCTTAATAACATTATGAAGTCCGTCAAAGAGGTCAAGACCATAAAGTTGATACAAAAACAGGGGATCGGTAATTTAAAAGTGGAGTAGAGAAGATCCACGGTCCATGTACGACGTGGAAGTGTTGGGAGAGCTTGTGCCTCCAAGAACCTTACAGGAATTTAATATGAAAGGTTACACTAGCGTGGACTTGCCAGCCTGCTTTATGAATACCACACTTTTCTCTCTCTCTGCTTACCAAGGATTGAGTTCTGGGATGCGTAAATGCAACAACCTACCATCACTGGGTCAGTTACATATGATAGAAATGGATAGCATTATGAGAATTTAAGTATATTTTTGTGGTGGTGATGAGCCTTTCGTCTACTAGAGAAATTTCACTTATACCGTATAGAAAACCTAGAATCGTGGAACACAATGTACTCTACGATGAGGATGGTGTGAAGAAATTCATGTGTCCCTAATCTTGAGGAACTGTTAATATGTACAAGTTGATTAATATGTACAAGTTGAGACTCAGACCATGGCCACCTAGAACTAAGGTATGGGATGTAGTGAACAACCATAATGTATTAAAATCATGGGGAAGATGGACTGGTCTTTCTACTTCTGCTCTATTGTACCAACTGATATGAGGCCTTGGAAACACACTTAGGTTTTTCCTTTAACAATTTATCCGTGAGCACCAAGAAACCATTATTTGGAGGATTTTTGCAAAACCTCAATTTGAGAGAGGGATTTCGAAATTCTCATGCAAGCTTCGATCTTTTTGGCTTTACCTCTTGGGGATAGTTTTAAAATGGGTTTGTCTAGTTATGTGCCATGTTTCATAATTTTTGGACCTCATTTGAATCAATTTTGATTTTTTTTCTTAGAGAGGTCTTTTGAGCCCAAGACGGTTTCAAAAGCAGCTCAAGTTGTTGTTTTTTTCAACTTGCTCCGATTGAGCTTATTTTTTTGCTAGAGAAGTTCTCTAGGTTGTTACATATTTTAAAATTTGTAGAGGTGGTTTGACCGTGTATAGTCTTGCTTGCTTTGATTTCCATTGCTTTCACACCCTTTCATCCTAAGATTATAAGTTCTGTATGTCTGCTGTGACTACTAGGTATTAGCTAGGGATGTGTCAAAGGTTCGTGTGTGGTATTGGGATATAGCCCGCTCTCTCATCTACTTGGCGAGAAAATATGCAGACCCTCCTCTCGTCACTGCTTCCGGTCCGTCAATCATATCCCACTAAAAAGCATATCGATCACAATGGACCGTAACTAGAACACTAATAGACTAGGGTATTACATCATATCTACAAAGTGGATTTGAGCATTTGCTTTTTTTTAGAGAATGGAATTGTTAAAGCTTCAAACGTCTTCAAATAAGACTCATCCATCTACAATCATTACAACCACCACTCTGCTATGCAACAAAAACTATTTTTAACATTAAAGATCAATACAAAACCTAAAAAACCATCCACGGGAGGAAAGGGGAAAAAACTGTACAGCTCTTTTTTCTAAGCTGACATGCCAACACCAACCAACAATCCTTATATAGGTAGGATTTTAGCATTTGCTTGCGAACACATATAGATGTACTGATGTAACTGATAGGTGATGCTTCAATATTGATCTGATCTGAGGGGCAATACGACATTCTCATATCTTTTCTGGAATCCAGCAGCCGTGGAAACCGAATGGTAGGCCATAGGGGAACCGTACTCGAGCAATTTCTTGGAAAGTCATCCCGTCCAGCAGCAGCGCATACCCTTCACCTTCCATCGTACTTACAATAGATATGACGACCCCTGCATACATGCATTCTTATGGTTACATAAAAATCATCATCTTAACACACACATTTTCAGCAATATATGTAAGTCAACTTAATTACCATCATCTTCAGCAGTTCCTCCTGGCCTCGCCACAAAGAGTGGCTCTGATGGCACAGAGCCCACCTCGTGCCACATCTTGGCTCCTTTCTCCACTAGGTCGATCTTGGTGAGCGAGTTGAAAAAACTGCAAGGCCGTTGCGCGCCACAGGCGTAAACATAACGGTGCTGCTTACCCTGATAGGCTAGATTGATGGAAGACAACTGCACTCCCCGGCCATGCACCTCAGGGTCCAGCACAGTTTCCAGCTCGCCAAAGGCGGTTTCGTCCAGGGGTATCCTGAACCGGGCCACCCTGCACAAGATCGATGCACACGGTAGTACGATCATATCACTGCCGCCATATCATCATCTAAGAAAATATAATTCCTTAATAACCTCGCATCAGGCAATGCATCACTGTAAATTCCGGGCGATCTTAGTCTATGGAGTTCGAATTCTTTGATGATAGAAGGATCAGCATAGTACTCGCAGCAGTCAGCGATGATGGCATGTGTCTTGTCGCCATCTTCGCCTTTCTCTTCATATGCGTTAATGAGGTGCAATGTCATGAAGGGAGGTACCTCCACGCTCGCCACCTACATGGTACAACATCAAGATCAATGACGGTGTTTTTGGTATAACAACACCATATCGGGAAAGAAATTAAATCTTAAAACGTACTTACCGCCTTTCCCGTGTGTCTGCATATGACGTGCATGTAGCTCCCGGACTCGGGCAGCCAGTCGAAGATATACAAAGGCGTGAGCTCAGACATGAGAACACCGGCAACGGAATACCGCAGCGGCATCTCCGGCACGACGACGCAGTTCTCTGTGACGGCGAACGAATGCACCCATCCCGGCGTGAGCCCTCCCCAGCAGCGCACCCTCCCGATCACTTTCGGTAGTGTTTGGTTTAGAGTCAGGGACATCCTAAGTGGGATATCCCACCTTGAAATGACGTTTGGTTCTGAGTCAGGCAGAGTCAGGGGCGTCCCACTAGAAAATATGACTTCTATCCTCACATTCCTCTTTTTTGGAGGGACAGAGTCGTCCCACAAAAAATAAGACCATCCCACTTCACCTCGTCTCTGAACCAAACGCTACCTTCCTCTCGTTGCTCCCGGCCGCCATCCTGACGACGCGGTGGCCATGCCCGAACATGTCCGGGAGCAGCGACAGGGGCTCGGTCCCTGTCACAACCGGGTGCGTGGACTGCAGCAAGGCCCATAGCCTATCCGCGTAGCGAAACTTGCCGATCGTCTCGAGGTCTACCAGCACGGAGCCCTTGGTGGCCTCGGTGAGGCACAGGACCCCGCCGTCCCCCAGAGGCAGCACGGAGATGTTGGCGTTGTCGGACAGCGCTCTGCCGCTGCCGAGGTCGATGGCGTTGTGGACATGGTCGAGCAGGCTCCCAGCCCCGGCCGGACTCATGGGGGCACGGCTGGGAGAACTCGCGCAGGAGAGGCCGGCCATGTGCCCTGGCGGCTTTGTACGCCTCGGACTCGACTTGACGATGTGCGCCGGTGGCGCGGCCATGCAAGAAGGAGGTGCGCACAAGTGTGGCGTACCCGTCGAATATGTGGTGGGAGGAGTGGTCGCCGACGTCCCACACACCTGGTCCGTTCCTTAGATACGTGCCATTCATTAGTACAACCACATTTAGCCACGTGTGATCGATAATTCATTTGTATATATATACACGTGTATATGTTGATACATTTTGTAAAAAGATAAAGTTTATGAAATCTAAAGCAGTTAAGTAAAGCCAAAGTGAAGAAATAATTTAGAACGGAGGGAGTAGGTACCAGCCAAATAGGGAGGTCTCCTTCCACGGCCAAGTTGCCTTCCCAAGTTTCTTGCCGGACGTTTGTCCAAGCAGAATGCGCTGTGCGGCAATCTGCGATGGCCTTCACGCAACAACCGTTACTCCGACTTGACATTGCCATGCTGATACTGGCAACGTTGGTGTTGGTGTGTCCTGACTGTGCGGTGGAGAAGAAGAATGGTCTGGCTGCAGCCCATAGCGTGTTGTTGTGTGCACCCATGCATTCCTTTTCCGCTCTTATGTTGGACGATTTCCCTCCTCTCTTGCGTGCAATGGAGCTGCTATTTGTAGACTGAATTGTTGCTGTGGCATTATTTTGCAAACAATATTGTGTTTGGACCGTACTAGTTTCTCCGTTGTATCGTATCCTATGCCCGTTGCATTTGTGTCCTCCAATGGTTATAGGGAACAAAGAGAATCGCATCTCCATGATTTAGCTGAAACGAGCAACTAGTGCATAAAACCCAGGCCACTAGTTGCTGGAGAATCACATAATCTGATTTTCTCATATTTGTTATTTATTTTTTGTGACAGACACATGGAGGCTCAGATGTCGGTGACCACGTTGCAGAATCCATGCTTTTGATTTTTGTAGCTTAATGAACCACGTTGCAGAATCCATTCTTTACTAAAATAAAACAGTAACTTAGAACTTAATTGCCAAGTTAAATAGCAACTTATAGATCTCAATAATGTTAATAGGGCCTAACCACTACTAGAGAGAGAATTTTAGGAGGCAATGATTTTAGACGCGGGTCGACACCCAACTATATCTATAAACTATTTTATATAATTCCAAAATCAGAAAAAAGTTGCAGAAATCAATTTTTTTAACCTTAGGAGAAGCCCACTGGGCAAGCCCTGTCATCGCAAGTCACACAAGTGGCACTTTTTTCCACACGAAATATGTGCGTGGCTAGGTTTCATGTTAGCAAATATTGTAGAACATTTGAGATTCTCAACTGTTGGTGCAGGAATTTGATCGATGCGCAGGACACACGATGGCTCGGGGATCTGCTTTACTCGGGTCCGATCGATTTTGAAATCTTAGGCGCGCCAGTCAATTTGATATGACAACAGAGAAATAGTCAGTAGATTAGGTTGGAACATGTTGGATGTTAACCGGACAGTTCCATGAGGTCACCACCTACGGAGACGATGGAGTGCGGGATGGCTGTTTGATATATTAAAATAAAGTAAAACAAATACTATCGACTGGTGAGCCGATGTAAGTGGCAAATATTTATGTATGAAAAAGAGACAAAACTTTATTCAAATGAGCTGATACAACGACAAGAGTATGAAAACATAAGCCGTCGGCTGTGAACCACAAGATTATAATGTAAATAATATCATACTTTATTACAAAGAAACCCATAAACTAGCGTCACCACCAATCAGATCAGATCGATACAGCGTTGGTAGCAGGACGTTAAATCAAAGCTTGCAAGTCGATAGATCTAATTATAATAAAATACAATACTAAAATACACTATGTAAACTAGCGTTAACATAGGATCAGCCAGTGTAACAAGATGACGTCATACGATCAGCAAAGACGACAAATCTATGCGATATGAGCCGGTGAATCTTAACCGTAGTTGGATAAATTGTGATTTTATTAATCTTAGTAAGAGATCATGATATGCAGCCTCACTAACAATAATAGAATCCATAACTTTGAATAATACCAAAACTAGCAAGAGGTCAAGAGACACAGCCTTACAAGATTAGATACAAATCGAACTCCTCATTTATTGCAAACTGCCTTCACTAGTAGAGAAATGGGCTGTAGTCTCGGTTGGGAACTGGCTTTAGTCCCGGTTTTCCAACTGGGACTACGAATCCGGGACTAATGGTCCTGGCCTTTCGTTCCGGACACATAACCGGGACTAAAGGTCCATCCTCAGGAGAAAAATAAACGAAATTGTTGGGAGACCTCTCTTGCGATGTGTGAGATTCGAACACATGACCTCTTTCCTCGCGCATAAACTCCTTACCAATTCAGCTGTACACCACATGTGACAAAGGTCCTAGACACTCTCCTTTTGAATTGACATGTGGGGTACCTTTAGTCCCGGGTGGGAGACTTTTACTCCGGGTTGGTGACACCAACCGGGACTAAAGGTGGCCTGCTGCGAAAGCGTGCTAGGACAGGGGCCTTTAGTCCCTGTTGGTAGCTCCAACCGGGACTAATTCTTCCTTTACTCCCGGACGCAAAAAATACCAAGACTAAAGCCCAAAATCAAAGCGGATGAAATGTCATTTCTCTACTGGTGCTTATAGCCAATCTAAATTCTTGTGTGTTAGGGTACACGATATCAATGTCCAATTGTCCATACAAGGCTGGTTTAGGTTATAGACTAAGATTCTCTCCTCTAAAATATGATCCTGGATGGTAGCCCCTAGCTGTGTCAATCTCCTCGATAGTGGCATTCCTATTTTTCAGACCCATTTTTCCTCTTTGTAGATGCCGATTGTCCATGGAGATCGATGTTGCGTGCGCCGCAAGGTTACCAGCAAGGAATGGTGTGCGGTCATGAGAGGTTAGACGAAGCTAGAGGAAGGAGAAGAAGAGAGGTAGAGGGTGATGCATATGGCCCTCATGTAAGAGAGATGGAGAAAGGGAGTGGCAGCATGGGCATGTAAGAGAGATGGAGAAAGGGAGTGGCAGCATGGGCCTAATAGTGTTCAGAGCTTACGAAATGATGTACTCTCTCCGTACCATAAAAAGAGTCAATATGCGTTCCGTGTTAGTCAAAGCTCATTAAGTTTGACTGAATCTATAGAAAATATTAACAACATTTATATCTCTAAATAAATTTATTATGAAAATAGAGTTAACGATCTATCTAATGATACTAATTATGTATTATAAAATATTAGTATTGATTATATATATAATCAAAATTAAAGTTCTTTGAGTTTTCGAAAAATGATATGGAACGGAGCGAGTTCGTACGCTCAACCAATTATAATAGCGTCGTTCCAGCAACCCCCCACCCACCACACACACACACACACACACACCCCCCATCAGCCCACCGCCCTAGCCCCTCAAGACCTAGCCTCCTCCTCGGATCCCGCCGCCTCTTGGACGGCAGGCGCCGTAGATCTGCCCGCCTCTGCTGTCTGCTGGGTGCTCGGCGCTGCATCGCAGCAGGAGCGGTTCCAGCCGGGCAGCATCGCAGCAGGGCCGCTAGTGAATGAGGACCGCCTACAAGTCTGCGCACTGTACTCTGCTCATCCTCTCGCCCACCGGGGAGCTCTCCGTGCAGGTCATATGCTTGTTTGGTTGCTTCTTTCTCCATCTCTTACTATTTCTTCCTATCATTTTATAAGATGCTTTTGTAGATCCATGCATGTGGTGGGTGGCTCCGTGGTTGCTACTTGCTAGCTTGCTAACACTATTTGTTCTGTTTTGTGTTGCAGATTCATGAAGAGGTTATAAAATTTCATACCAAACTGGTGTTATGGTAGTTGTAGCTTTTGGAGAAGCGCGAGTTACTAATCAGGTATTCTTCTTTGTTTCTGTCAAGTTTTGAATACATCTAGGCGACTAATTTTACATGGATAATTGCATTGATGGACTAGCTGTAGTCTTTATTTAATAACTCAATTAGTTTTGTGTAAGTTGTTTGCCTGGCATAGATTTCTGACCCAGTATAGCAATTACCGGATAGATAACAATACAATATTTACATAGTACAATGTATGCAATTTTATAGCCCCCTCTTGGCCTAGTTCTGGATCTGCCACCAGGGACACCGTGCCACTTCTAGGTATGGAGGTCCTGGTCCTCATCCTTGTTGATCGGAGCGAGAAAGCTAGTGCGCAGTCAAGATCCCTAGCAACTGCCGCGGAGTAGGTGGCGGTGAGCATGTGGAGAACAAGCAAGAGGCACGGCAACGTGGGACACGTACGCCTCAGTCATGTGCGACTTCTCCGTGTGTCCGCCACTACCCGTCACGACAAAGATGCCATGATGAGACCCATGAAGATACGATCGGGTCGCTCACTATGTGAAGCCAAAGGAGCAGGAGGCTGACTCTCGAGCGAGGACGAGAGAGAGATTGATGACGAGGAGGGAGCGAGACGGGTAAGAGGGAGTGAATTAGGTCACCTACAAACTAAGGAAAAAACCACATACCAAAAACATACACAAATTCTATCTTGATGTGCAATGAGTTTTTCTAAGTATTTGACTTCTACCCTAGGTTCAAACCTATCAACTACTGACCACACTGCGATGTTTATACCGACATATTGAAAAGCTTATGTTTTCCAGTTGTCCTTATTGGAGCCTTCGCAAGGGCCAAATTCCCGGTCAGGTAACTCGTGGATAGCTTACATGCCTTTCCCACACGCAAGTGGGTCTCCGCCAAGTGTCTCCCGGACCGCTCCACTTTGTCTCCACTAAGAAAAATTTGGCCAAAACGTCGAGGGCCTCTTGTCCCTCATCCATCGCCGGTGGCCATACCACATACGCGGTTAGAGGGTCTTGGAAGACTTACAAGTACCGACATGTACAGTTCTTGGTGCGCGCAAGCACTGTTAGCACGGAGGTATACAAACCTCACTAAACTACAGGTTAACACCTAAAGCAGGGGCTAAAGTGACCCCTATCTAATCTAAGCACCAATCCTAG